AGAAGGGTGGTGCAGTGATTACGAAGTTCTCGGGAATCTCTAGTTTGTTTTGCTGAACAATGTGCTCATCAACCCATGCTTGCTCTTTTTCGATCAGAGTTTTATAATGATCCTCTCCCTTATCCTCGGGGAACTTGCTTGCTTTATCCCCTAGAATTAGGCCGGTGTTGAATGCCCGCGTAATAGCTAACCATTCCGGATCATATTCAAACTTTGGTTTAGCTCGTGGAGTAGATGTCGAAGCCGTTTCCGAGCTGTCATAGGGCTGTACCTCTAGGAGCTGTAGAAATTTACGACCTGGTAAACACTTATCTAGAGCAAGAAAACGAACTGCTTTGTTTGTGATCTCGGGTGGTGTTGGCTGTCCTGGCTGTATCCTAGGCTCTCGATGAGCTGAGGGTGCTGGTCTTGAGAAAGCAGCTGGTAATTGGGCTCGGATATCAGATGGGACTGATGACGGGATAGATTCCTCTGTGGGTGCTGGTATTTGCTTGCTTTCAGTATTATTCGTTGTGGCATCAACATGCTTTGGTGCGTCCGTAGCTAGTGGGCTAGCATCATCATCATCATCCATATCAAGGTCAATCTCATCATCGTTATGTGGTACTATAGGCTGTTGCTCGACAGTTGCATCGTTGATTTCGGCTAGGGGTGCGACTTCGGTACTTTTGACTTCTTCCTTTGGCTCCTCCACAGCGTTTGACTTTTGAGCGTCCTCGTAGGTTTTCACCGCAGAAAATTTACAGTGTAAATGTGCGGCAAACCAATAGGGTGGCCTTAGACGATCCATAACATAGCTGGCGGCCAAATTCCCCAGCGATCCGTCATTAGATTCTCTTTCAAAATCTGGTTTCATATTCCACAACCTCTTCACATCTCCATGCTTCTCAACAGCCCTTGGCCAATCATGACTGATCCCAATATCAACCTGCGTTCCTACTTGTAGAAGTTTTCTGACATCATATTCGCGCACATGGTATATCGATTTGGCATCATCCTGGTTGTACGGCAATCGTTCGTAATGACTTTTGTTGTAATTGTAACCCTTCCAAATTCCACTCATACCAGCGATTCGCACTCCGCCTAATCGTAGCACATTTGCAGCTCCCATGTAATAAATGTTTGGCGCAACCCATCCTCCATAATAAAGTTCCCATAGATGACTGCTAGCTTCGTGATTGCCGCCGACGAAAATGGTAAGGTATGGGGCTTTCTTGAGTCCGCTATAATATGCGTGGAAATCGCCAATTTCTCGATATTTGACTGGACATGACATTACTGTAAGATCATTTGCGTTTCTTACTGCCTGGAATAGTCAGCCAAAGAATTCGTGCGTGAATAACGAAGGGTTTTGTCGAACCTGGAAGTCCCCTCCAATTATGAGAAGATCAACGCCATCCCAACTTCGAGCTTCGCAAGCTTTCTCTATTGAAGAATATATTGCATTAAGAGTGCCATGGCCCTATTGAAATACTCAGCAAAATGGCTAAGTAAAATGATCAGAATGCCTTAAAACCTACGCATCCCTCTACAGAAACGCGCAAACCATTTACTTCTTGAATGGAGGCAGCCATTTTGGGCAGTCCCTTAGATGACTTCTTGCTGGAATAATTACGAGTAATTGTATAGATGTAGCCTCTCCCATTGCACAAATAAGGCGATTTTTGTATTCGCACAATATTTCGCAGATGCTTACCGTTGAGAAACAAATTCATGCTTTGTTCATCAGTTCGCTTGCTTGCTTTGGTCTAAGGTTATCTCTCAAGCACAAACCGAAAATCATAATTTATTAAGATTTCTTTTCACACAACGCGTCACAGTTTCCAGCTGCCGACTCTCCATAACACCTTATGATGATTATGGCAGATTTAGAATTAGCGGCGCGTCTACGATATTTGAATGAGTCTGCACATTTCCTGGCAACATCAGCACCTACGACATCAAAATATCTAGTGTCGCAATGCAATTCTCTATTGTTTGATCACGAAATTGAACAGTCGGATTTGTCAAAACGAGGATCATGCAATGCTTGCGGGGCTATTATGATATTGGGATCCGAAGGCAGATTAGAAGTCAAATCGCAAAGTATTAAAAAGAAACCAATCCGAAAAAGAGCAAAAGCCGCCTCCAGTGTGGAAAAGGCGATGATATATACATGTGGTTCTTGCAACAAGATGACCAGACATCGTTTGAATCCAGCTCCTGTGGCATCGAGGTCTAAGAATGGTGCAGTTCAGCATGGAGCTGTCTCTAAAACCGGCCCCTTACCAGCGCAGAACTTGACAACTGCAACTACCATAGGTACACCTTCGACGAATGCAAGTAGCAAGAAAAGAGCCAAGAATCGCAAGCTCGGTGGGCTTGGAGCATTGCTAGCAAAGCAAAAAGCATCACAGACAAGCTCATCCGGGTTCGGTCTGGATTTGATGGATTTGATGAAGAAGAGTTGAAAAATCCAAGATGTTTCCTACTTTTCTCGAGATTGTGCAAGGTTCAACAAACATCAATCAGATATGGGCGGAGAAATCGTCACTGGAATATCCGTACTGTACTGTGCACCTAACGCCATGGTACTGTTAACATGGGACATTTCGATCTTTGGAGCCAAGTATTCATCGCAGTGTTGGATCTTGGCCATACAGTTATGGTTCGAATATATGCGATATTGTATACTTCTCCAGGGAACCATTAAGTTGGGGCAAATTGTTGGATTAACCATATGCTACGACGAGACAATGTGTGGCTCCCTATGACGGACGTCAAGTTTTTGATTCAGTCGCAAGGATCCTATATATGAACAATCCGACGATAAAACACACAATACAAACTCCCCATCATAATATAATAATTGTTCTTGGACCCTTTTATCAATGACAAACCAGACATTCCACTGCTTTCTCGGACTTTCAGCCTGACGCCTGATGAGGTAACGCGCCCCGCTAAGATTATATAACCGGGGTAGAATCTTATCAGACAAATCGAAAAATATAATTTCTCGACCCCTCATAAACAATTGCCCCTCCAATTTTTTACAATCAGTATTCTGCGTCATATTAAATCTACACAAAATTAATCAACAACAGAAAATTCAGATATGATGGCCGGTACAAATCAAACCGAAACAAAGCCAGACGGTGCTGTCTTCGACGATTATTTTGAGAGCTTGGGTAAAAAGGCACAAAACCTTTCAGCCAACGAACAAAAAGATGGTATCGCAACCAGCAGCACATTAGAGTCAGATGAAGAACAGAGAGTAGTGGATGAGATCGAGTCATTGTGTATGAACTGCCATGAAAACGTACGTTTTGCAACCATCTCCTGTCAAGAATATCTACTAATCCTCCACTCTTAGGGAATCACCCGATTACTCCTCACGCGAATTCCTTACTTCCGCGAAATTATCCTTATGTCCTTTTTCTGTCCCCATTGCAACTTCAAAAATTCCGAGATTCAATCTGCTGGTGAGATTCAACAGAAAGGATCAAGGTTTGAATTGCGCCTCACCACTCTCGAAGACTTCGCTAGACAAGTAGTAAAATCTGATACTTGTACTGTCAAATTCATTGAGTTGGATCTTGAAGTCCCAGAAGGACGAGGACAGTTGACCAATGTAGAAGGCCTTTTGAGCATGATTCTTGATGATCTTGCTCTCAAACAACCTGAAAGAAAGGAGCAAATCCCAGAAGTTTACGAAAAGATCGAAGATGTTATTACCAGAGGCCGAAAGATGCTCGCAGGCGAGGCCTTCCCTTTCAGATTGTCTCTTGATGATCCAGCAGGAAATTCATGGATTGAGCCAGACCAAAAGGATGGTGTAGGAAAGCTCGCCAAAGTTCAATACCCAAGAACCCCAGAACAAAATGAGGCTCTTGGTCTCAGTGGTGAACAACCTACCGAAGCCGCAACTGGAGGTCAACCTACCGCCGCAAGTTTTGAAGACGACGACATCATCCCCAATGAAGTTTATTCTTTCCCAGCTACCTGTCCTGGATGCACAAGGCATTGTGTCACACATATGAAGATGGTTGAAATCCCACATTTCAAACAAGTCGTCATCATGAGTACTGTATGTGAACATTGCGGATATCGTTCGAACGAGGTCAAGACTGGAGGTGAAGTTCCAGAAAAGGGTAAATGCATTACTCTAAAGGTAGAGAGTCCCGTAGATCTAGCCAGAGATATCCTCAAGTCAGAGTCATGCGCATTGGAATGCCCTGAACTCAAACTATCAGTCAACCCTGGAACTCTAGGAGGAAGATTCACTACCGTTGAAGGTTTACTTACACAGGTACGAGACGATTTACATCAACAAATCTTTGATGTTGGTGATGCCGGAGAAGGTGGAGATGGCATGATATCAGAATCTAAGAAGAACTGGAAGATATTCTTTGATGGTATTGACGAGGCCATCAAGGGCGAAAGAAAGTTCACCATTATCCTTAGAGATCCGCTGGCTAGTAGTTACGTACAGAATTTGTATCTGCCAGATGACGATCCATCGATCACGACTGAGGAATATGAGAGAACAGTAGAGGAGGAAGAAGATCTAGGTCTCTCTGACATGAAGACCGAAGGATATGTAGATGAGGTTGGAGATGAGAAGAGGAGAGTGGAGGCTGAGAAAGCCGCGGCTGAGGAGAAAAAGGAATAAGCATTTTCCGATGCTTACTCGAAACATAAAACGTCTGATTTTTTAGAACAATGATATCCACCAATTACAAAAGCCTGGCTTACACTACATTTCTGTTTTCCCACCCGCGCATATGGCAAGTGCCCTGAACTTTCACACATTTACATGCTTATGATGGTTGCTATCTGAATTCCATATCTTTTATACCTAATGCATTAAATTCGAGTGTGTAACACAATTTTGTATCATAGTCTATTCTACACTGAGCCCAAATCGATCGTTAGCCGTCGCTACTGCAGTAGCGCAGCTAAGACAGCATTTTGCCCTCAGGACCCGCTTAAATTGGGTTTACCAATCAAGAAGTAGCGGAATGTCACTGGTACCTGAGAAAGCTTGGGCCAAGTCTAGACGAAATCCCCTACAAAGTCTGAGATATCTTCCTGTGTGTACTTATTACTTCTCAATCCCTCCTACCACTCAATACAATAGCTCTTTTCACATGAATCTTTCTTTCTATACTCGCAACCTTGTACGGAAAACGATAATTGGAAGACCAACAATACAAATGATGAGTCTTCTTACTCCTATCGCCCGGGAGTTTCGAACGTTAGCACAATGTCCGCAACTTGCCATTGCCGAAGCAGAGGATGACATCGAAATCAGAACTAAATATCGTCCTTTCTTACTGGATTCTGAAATGGAAGCTACAGATTGGATCTCTCAGTTAGAGTTAGACTCTGTAGTTACCCAAGTGGAAGAACACTTAGCGAAGACTAGCTCTAGATTAAAAGTCTTAGTTCTCTATGGGAGTTTACGGCAACGGTATGCTTCCAGTTACCGGGCTTCGTGTGCAAGATATGTCTAACGAGATATCAAGATCTTATTCAAAGTTGATGGCTTTCGAAGCTTCCCGAATTCTCCACCGTCTTGGCTGCGATGTTCGAGTGTTCAACCCAAAAGATCTGCCCATTCGCGATTCAGTCGATGCATCTCATCCCTCTGTCCAAGAACTCCGAGAACTTTCCCTCTGGTCTGATGGTCACATCTGGTGTTCTCCCGAGCAACATGGGAATCTAACTGCTGTTTTCAAGAACCAAATTGACTGGATTCCACTTGCTACTGGCTCGGTTCGCCCAACTCAAGGTCGCACGTTATCGGTAATCCAAGTTAATGGCGGATCTCAAAGTTTTAACGCAGTTAACAGTCTTAGAATTCTGGGGAGATGGATGAGAATGTTTACATGTCCTAATCAGAGTAGTTTGCCAATGGCATGGAAACAATTCGAAGACGAGGGAGGCGATGGGAGTGGAAAAGCGAGATTACTCCCAAGTGGGAATAGAGAGAGGTTGGTCGATTGTATGGAGGAGTTCGTCAGGTATACGATTATTATGAGGCCTCATTTTGAGATTTTTGGTGATAGATTTAGTGAGAGGAAAGAGAGAGCAGAGAAGGAGAAGAAGAAAAATGAGGTTCCTGTAGATAAGATTTGAGATTTAGATTTCGCTTCAGTACATCAATTAGAGAATGGGGTTTGAGTTTTTCGTTGCATCACTATTTCTTATCGTCCTACTCTATCTAAGCCAACCCCGTCACTCTACACCAGCTGTCCGCTCCTCATATCAATCTTAAATCGCCCTTCTTCCCTGTCCCCCCTTCGGTATTACTCCACACACAAAGAACTCTCAATACCTTAAACAACACTCCACTTCCTACTCCACGATCTTCAGACTCTTTATCTCCTCATGAATCTACCTCATATACGAATGGCGTGCGCAAATTCAGGGAACCAATAATGGATGCACAGATTCGTGAGATGATCAGAAAGTTGCATTTGGGGATAGATTTTGATGTGTTGTCTCAAGACTTTGAGATTTTGTACAGGTGGCTAATTTATATCAAGTTACCAGGAATACACTTTTAATTAAAATCAAATATTGTTCAGATCATTTGTGATTTTTTACACCTTGAGAGGATCTTATGAGTTCGTGTACCCGTTGGTGAACGATAGGGGATATGATTACTTTGAAAGGTCACTAGTGGGTGTACGTATTGACGGGATACTCCAAAAACGGACATATGAATAATCCTTTGATAAACTAAATTGTATATTTTAGGAATTGTTATAATTTTTGATAAGAAATAGAAGAATCGAATTGTGAATTCTGATATTAAACAATTGAAGAATGAATCTATTAGATTTTTTGGAAGTTGGGAAGTGTCCCGTCAATCCATACACTCATTAGTGGTTATTATATGATGTATGTGACTGCTCGATCTTACCCAAAACTTCCACAAGATTACTTCCTATACACGTATGCAGGCGAAAAGTCACTAGTTGCACGTGTTTTCATCGTCGAAAACTAAGACCCATTCCAACCAGCCGAGAAAGCCTTTCCGCCACGATGAGTTGCTGAACGTGGTGATGTATAATCGGACATTTATTCACTCGGAGCAGTGGATGCACTGTGTCCTGTCGGCGGTGGCAGACCAGGCGGAGGTCTACTTGAAAAAGCTCAACCAGATCTCCCCGCTAGTACTGTTTTGATGAGACGTCTCGTACAACTCTTAGATACATTTGGCGCGTATGAAACATCCTCAAATTCGACGAAAATCATTTAATTATACTGTCTGGCTCCAAAGCATAAGCGCTTGAAGACTTTCTGCTTAGGAATTATTGCCATTAGCTCGTCCTGGGATGTATCCCTCGGAAGGTTTCTCACATAAAGAGTATTGCAAGGGGGATTCTGTCCCAGAGGATTGATTGGTGGGAAACGATGACGGTGGTAATCCTGAGTTGTTGATTTTTGACAAGCAAGCCGCGACCGGTCAGTGTACTCTCATCAGGATGGTTTCCGATGGGCTTTTGTTATAAGCTCTTGATGAAGGATCGGACCGCTCAATCTTCATTTGAGCTCCGACGGCGACAGCAAACTTCGAAAGTAAACGCAGCTTTAGTCCACCTAGAGAGCTTGGTGATAATTCAGAAACTGGTTCGTTCATCGAAGTGAGAATTTGTTTAGCCCCATCTACTACGCCACTTTCGTCTTTCTGGGAGTAATGAGCGATGAGGCTTTCCATCAAGAGCACTGGATTGGGCAAAGATAAATCTTTCGCTCCGAAAGCGGAGCTGATTTGGTAAAATGTGTTCTACAGAGAAACTACATAAGCCTCGCCAAGCGGATTCGATGCAACTACATGGCTATAGACTTCCAGCTTCTCCTGGTCCACGATCAACGAGCCACAGTCACCATCAATGACACTTGAAAAGGTACCGTCAGTTCAAGTTTCGCCCGGAAAGTTCTCAACTAACGGCTAGAATCAGATAAATTACATTCCACACCTGACAGAGATCTTCGCTCGGTTTACCTCCAATATAGGAGTTGCCATTGAGCATAACACCCTTTCTTGTTCCGCTCACGCCAGAAATCATGAACACTTTGACTTCACTAGTTTTGGTGCTTACGAAATTATTCCAAAAAACTTGGGATTCGCGGGATCATTCTCCAAAATAATGCGTTAGGTCGCTTGTAGTATTCACCGTCAAACTCAATCAAGGCTCAGTCGAGGTTCGTCGTTGTTCTATCTATTACAGACAGGATATCTACCTTGTGGCCCTTTATAGATTCACCATACTGTTCAGTCGGCCCGTGATCAATGGTTACGGTTCAAGTGCATCCTTCTGCCTTAAATCATGATGATATTCGAAGACTAGCTCTTGAATTCAGGGCAAATCCACAAAGCACATGCGAAGAATTCAGAATTAAAGTAATTCCAAATATTTCGACAGATCCAGAGGTTGTAATTGACCAGGAGCGTGATGTTAATGTCGCTGTGCAGATTACGTTGATGATTGATGGCTCTGATAAAGATCGTCATTATGAAGGCTACGAGATCGGCGGCTTCCGGTCAGTCAGTTAGGATAGCTCAGAGGAGTTCGTCGATGTTTTTAAGAAAGTCTTTTCAATAGACGTTCATGATCAGGAGAAAGTTCGAAAGGCATTGAATGAGAAAAATGCGTTGAAATGGTGGAAATTAAGGAAGCGAGCACATATCAAATTCCTTCCAACAGACAACATAGCAGAGCACCTTTTACATAACCCCCAAGACAATGTCGTTCGTCTTTTCGCCAAACGGCATTTCTAAAAGCTCATCTCCGACTTTCAGCCTGTCAACCTATAGAGCTCGGAATCACTGAAAGTCTCAAAGTGTGAGATTTATACTTGATCAATCTTGAAACCCTACTCTCGTCAGCTAATCCTAACTTGCATTTTTAGAGTGACATTACCACCGCAACTGCTCCTAGGGACATTACATTCATTGCAATGTATACTGTTCCCTCCAGCTGATGAAAAATCGTCTCGATGTTTGGAGAACATTATTCAAGATTCGGAATCGAGTTTTGACCCCGATTGCATGCTTCATGAGAGATACAATAGACCGGTACCGGAAAACCTGGAATATCATTACTGGGGTGATCGATTTGCTAAGTTGAATCATCTTGTGACACATCCAAGGTCGAGTCATCGTATTAGTCAATGGATACAAAGAAACGCTTCGGAGAGGAATGCCTTGTTTGTAGCAATCTTGTCCCTTGTTCTGTCGGCACTCTTCGGTCTTTTGAGCGTTATTTTGTGAATATTTCAGGCATAGGTGGCATATATGTCTTGGAAAGCGCAGGTGAATGCTCCGCAAGCTTCATGATATGTGGACGTTGGAAGGACCCGTGAATTAATGACAATGGTCTCTAAGACAACAAGACTTCGACATGTGGCTTCGAAAAAGAGTTGATTTGGAAGTATTTTCTTCAAAGTACTGGTAAACGAGAGCGAGCGTGATGGGGGACTCATTGGAGCAAAGGGCGGTGAAGATTCGGAAGGCGCTGGGGTAAACATGATTGATAATTACGGTAACAGGGTGGAGAAGTTGAGTTGGGATAAATGAAATCAAGAATCAGATTGTTTGAAACAAAATGAAATGCTACAATCTTTCAACTCAGAATCATACTTGGTCGCATCCGACTATTCCGCTCAGACCATCTCGCTACCCCTTTTCCAGGCCCTCTGCCCCACATCTACTTTGCCAGAGAAGCTCACTCAAGAATTGTAAAACTAGAAATGCTCTAGCGAACCCTTTAGAAAAGAGTACAAAGGTAATATCAGCCTTCGAGAATTATCTGAATCGAAATCGCGCAGCTTGGAAGTGAGACGAGCGCTTTGATACCGCATCCCTACTCCCCTTAAATGGACAGCTTAATATAGTCCGATAAGACTGGATGAAAGGAGAACAGCTGAGAGTTGATTCTAGCAGTCGGTTAATTGTAATAGCGATGCAAACTTCAGGTGGAACACAGATTTATAGACAAACTCGCATGCGACTCTTATATATGCCCTCGCCCGGGTACTATGCTTGAATAATATCCAACTTCGTATTATCGCTAGGCGCATGATTGACCCATGTACCACATACATTTGCACTCTTCTGTTGTCAATTTCTATTGTTTAAAATGACTTAGACTGGGAGCTCGCATCGGCGATTCTGGTTTACGCTTTGGGCTGGACTGGTTCCCAGGGGTAGATGGGAAGTAAATTAACCTTGTTATATGAATGTTCGTGAACTTTCGAGGTTTCTAAGTCTTGACTAAAACGTTTGATATCTCATGGGTCCGATCCTCGAATTCACCTCCAATGAGTCTCATATATGGAGTCAGTACAGATTATGTCGGTCGATCAATGGTCTGGGGATTAACATACGTTAAGGTTTTAATGTAGCGATTCATGGCTTAGATCATAGAGCCAGATTGTTTTTACTTGAACAAGAATAGATGAAAAGATTCAGCCCTAGCCTTAGGCCTTAGAGAAGAGGTGACTGAGAGAAGATAATCGCTTCAGTCAAGTCCTGTAGATTTAAAGGGTATATATATGAGCTGAAACTTTCCCCTTCCTGACTACGACCTAATCATCGATCGATTCTATGAAACCCGTAACCCAAAATTCAGAGCCATACATAACCTTAAATCTAATCGTCTTAACCACGACCCATGATCCATGACCCGCAACCCCTAACACCATGAAATCACTCCACTCTAGTTAGCCCGCTTGCACGGTTCTACTATCATCCTTGTCACCATCACCGTTGCACGTCTTTTGCGCTTTCGCATTCAAATCAGCGTCACTTGCTAATAACAATTGAACTCCAACGTCGAAGCCCTTTTCAATAGCAATATGCAGAGCAGTCCAACCCATGTAATCAAACGCATCAAGGCTTTGCTCCCAATCTCTCTTGTCGTGTTCCCACAAAAGCAATCGTAAAACATCTTGATGCTGATTCATGGTAGCCCAGTACAATGCGGATCGTCCCCGTCGGTCTACATCACTGATACGAGCGCTGTGTGCAAGAAGTAGACTGACTACGGGTTCATGCCCGTCTATTGATGCATGAATTAAAGCCGTTCGCATTTCATCATCCTTTTCGTTGCAGTCGATATTGTGTGATGTGAGGGTGCGGACGATCGTCTCGTGACCTCTGCGAGCGGCGATGTGTAGCGGACTGAACCATCCTTCACTTTTTCCATCTGCTTTGGGTAATATTGAAGTGGGCTGTTCCTTTGTCAAACTCGATTGACTGGAATTGCTGTAATTTTGCGGTATCAATGCCATGTCCGGATGAATATGCGGTTCATTTCCAGAGCCTTTATGGTGTGCATGATCGGAGCGGGTGGGTGAAAAGAGACTTTCTAGGGTCCCATAAAAGTTGAAGCAGTCTGAGCTCATAGGGCTGGCTGATGACTTCCTTGGTGTTCTCAGAGAAATGAAGTCCACATTTGGGTCGAAATTGGCTTGATAGTCGGTCATTTACGGTGTCGAAAACGAGCTATGGCTGCGTGATATTAAGCTGTACATGAAATTGATGTCGTCTAATCCTTGAACACCATTGTTGGGTGTGCCATTTGGAGAGCCTGCCGTCGAACTGCTAGATGCCTGTGTAGAAGTGGCCACCCTGGTGAGATACTCGGACGACTTTGTGCCAAGGTCCATGGAATCTTGAAGATCTGGGACTTCTATCAGATCCGTTTCAGTGATCCTGCGCACTGTCGGATTTTTCACCGTTCCCATCTTCGCAGATCTTGGATGGCTCAATGTCACAGTATTTGCATACACCGTTGCTGAACCAGGAACCTATTTCCTTGCCGCCTGCTTCCCAAATTATCGCTCATTGTTTTCATACTTGGAAAGTGAACGCTTACGCTCAACATTTAATGCAACCAAATCCTTTGCTACAGGTCTAAAAAGTATGGAAACATTACTCGAAATTCTGGTGATAGTGGAAACGGCTATATGAAGCAGGTAATTGACTCGAGATGTACAAATAACTTAGTTGAAGAAGAGTCATTCTCGCTGCTAAAACTTCCTAAGAGTTGTACTTAGACTGTGCACAAATTATCTATACCCGTGGATTATCTGTAGATAATTCTTTTTATAAGTTATCCATTAGAAGTTCTACTTGCTTTACAGATTATCTATTGAGGCTTTAAAATTACCTATTTTATACAAATAATCTATAAATATATAGATTCTTTAAAAAAAGTAAAGAATCTTTATTTTTTTACTTAAAATATAAAGCTATTCCTAAATTATTTTCTAGCTCAAAAGTAATTCAAGCTTAAATTTATATTAATTTTTAAATGTCACGGTGTGAGATCACATGACATATTGGACCTCTCGGAGGGGTCCGGAATGGGCGCTTGCGCCGGAGCGCAAGTGAGCTAGGGCCCGATCGGGCTAGCTCGCTTGGGAAAATTCTGTATTATAGTTCTTCAAACTATATCTTAATCTTAAAATCTGAATCTATTATCTGTATCGCTATAACTTTGTTATATTAGAGCAAAGTTATTGAAGCCTTATTCTTACCTGTCGGCTTCGTGATACTCTATAGCTCCTACTCCATAAACATCGTTTCCACGATGCCCATTCCATACCCACCCAACCAGCCTGAAGATACCTTAACTTTTAGCGTTTCTATATCTGAAGATCCTTAAGCCTAATACCAATATTTTCAATCGACATTTATATATTATTGTTTTTAATAAATATTAATTAAATCACTTAATATTATTATAGTATTAAGGGAACTAATTATAATAATAAAATTCTATTATTATAATAAAATAATAAAAATTCAATATTATAAGAAAAATTTCTTATATTCTTTATTTTCTTTATATAAGAAAGAATACTATTATAAAATAAAATAAAGAATTCTTTATTCAAAAAGAAATCCTTTATTAGCTCTTTATTCAAAATAATAATTCATTATTTTGAAAAATTTGAAATATCACGTGGAAGCTAGTCCAAATGCGGAATGACAGACGCAATATTAATTTTTCTTTATTATAAAATTGATTTGAAATCAATAAAGAAATTGATTTCAAATCAGAATTTTCATGTACGCCACCTACGTATTATAGGCTGTATAGAGGGCAGGAAAAAAGCATAAATAAGTGGCTTAGGTCCCTGTATTCAGATCTTTTTCTAGAACCCACTTTTATATGTATTCAAGATTATATAATACAATAACAATTCAAGCTTCAATAATAATAGTAATTCTATTTATAAATTCTATAAGCCTAAGCTTCCCATATAGTACTATTATAGTACTATTCCCAATCCAGCCTAGTCAATCCCCTGCTAAGCGCATAACCTGCAATATATATTATATTAAGCTGGAAAGGATTAATTAATCACTCGAACAAGAACTTTCCGAAATATTAGTTAAAAAATATATTTAAATTATATCACAAAAACAAATCGTTATATAAAATATCTATCTATTCAATTACCTTATTAAATCTATATTTACCATCTTTACCTATATTAAAATTATATTTTTCAAGATTTCTATTAAATTTACAATTACATTGATTCTACTTTCTATTAAAATTCAATTAAATGAAAAACTTCTCAATCCTACCTCATTCAATAGTATCAAATTCAATCTCGATTGCTTTATAGATTAGATTTAGAATAAGATATATACTAATTCCAATCACTTTAATACCACTTATGCCCATTTGTCCTATATCATCAGGAGACTTATTGAAACTATTGCCTTGCAAATCCGTCTGTACAATATGAAAAGAGAATTTATTCATTTAAAGAATTATATCAATTTACTAGATATTCTAGAATAAACTTATAAAAAATATAAATAAGACTATAAAAGCCTGAAAACAACTAATATCCTTATAGTAAAAGAATTAATTATTCTATACATTTTATGCCGAATTTCAACAACTAGTACTAGAAATAGGAATGGCTGATAATAATATAATTCTAATTATCCTATTGGAATAAAATCTGTTTAATAAGTTGGTAGACTAGATTATCACTATCAAACCATCAATGTATAATACCAACGCTTACACTACATTTTACTAGAAGCTGAAGAATTATTATAGATATTTGAAATATAATTATTTAATCACTACTTCATTTCAACCTATTTATATTTTTATTTTCACTTCAATCTATAATTGAAAAATAACTCTTCCACCTATCTTCATTAAAAATCCAATAGATTTCAATTTTCAATAACAAATTACTAACAATAGTTTATTATAAAAAGAATATGACAAATATTATTACTACAACTTTGTTGATTACTTAATCTACAATTATGTATACCCTAATATCCATTCTATTTAGCTCCAAGTTACCATTATTATAATTAGTTTCATTAAAAACAGTCCTATATTGAATAACTTTTCGAAAGGTTGGGGCTCTATATACTTCTTATTTTGCTCCCCTCCTCACTTATTAATCAATTCGATTAATTCGGGAAACGGAATATGTTTAACCTAAATCATAATTAGAACGATTCCCTATATATTTTCCGTTTATCTACCACTATTACCCATAGCCTTTTATTGGAAAATGAACTGAATAATTATACGAATTTTATAATCCTATTTATCAAACTATTTATAGGAAAGGAAAACCTCCTAATCTATATTATAATTAATAATAAATGTGAAGGAACTATTTTCGCTAATTAAAACTGAATATTATCCCAGAAAATATCTGTACAATAATTATCTGTTGCTTTCGAAATTATAGGATTTAATAGGAAAATTTTATTAGAAAATTAGGTTATATCCTATATCCATATGAAATTTAAAATCAACAATTATACTGAAAAGAAGATTACTTTGTATATAACCAAATTAGCCTATTATCCTATTATATTGAGAATAACCTAATTTAAAAAGTATAATCCATATATTGACTTTATAATTAATTCATTTCAATTTGATAGTCCATTCTATTACAAGTTCTATAACATTTTATCCCATTTATTCCATATTAAAGCCCTATCTAACATCCTTTTAAAAACTCAACCTATATACTTACCAATTTATTCTAAAGAATTAGAAAATTAAGATATAACTATAATTTCCTTAAAAATATAAAATGTTTTAAATATCAATAAAACAAATTGATAACATTTTAAAAAAAAAAAAAGAATTCAATTTATAAAACCTACCATCTAAGTTCCAAAATTGGAAAGATATCTTTTCCTTAAAAAATATGGAAAAGCTACCTTCTTATCGGCCTTACGATTACAAGATTTAATTCTAGGAAGAAGCCGTTCTGCTATTTAATGCTTTATATTCTATATTCATATTAAACTAAAAGCTCTGAAATAGTAATTAAAGGAAAATCTTAAGAAAGGGTTCATTCAGCTAAGCTCTTCTCCTATTGAATTATTTGTTCTATTTATCAAGAAAGCTAATAGAGATCTCCGGTTTTGTATAAACTATTGTGCCTTAAATAATTTGTTTGTTAAAAATCAATATCCCTTATTATTAATAAAAGAATCTTTAAACAATTTAAAAAAAATGAAATATTTTAATAAGATTAATATTATTTCTACCTTTAATAATATAAGAATAAAAAAAAGGCAAGAATACCTAATTATATTTTATACCTAATTTAGCCTATTTGAATTCTTAATTATATTGTTCGGACTAATAGGAGTATCTGTAATCTTTCAGAGGTATATTAATGATTTTCTGTAAGAGTACCTGGATGTATTTTATACTACCTACCTAAACGATATCCTAATATACAATCAAACTGTTACGACGGCATCCAACATACCGCGTCACATGACATAAATTACACGTGATGGAGCGTCAAGGAGCTTCAGCGCTCCTGGAGCGCGTTGCGATCCTTAACGATCCAACATATAGGAGAGGTCCTAGGGACCAGGAGAGAGAACGAAGGTCTATATAAGGGAATGGGTTTCATTACAATGTAGAGCTTCGTGCTCAAGATCAATCATTAGTTTCATACTATAGTTACGAGAATTGCAACCAGTTACAACCTTATTGAATTCCTACTTGAAGTCTAGTCTAAACCACCTCGAGAGATCTCTAGACACTTCCACGTGACCCTAGAGGCAGCTCCCGTAACACTTTGAGCACCATTTCTGCTTCAAGTACCAATTCAATACCAACCGCCAGTATGGCAGCCAACAGTTCTTCCAGAAGCCAACAGGCTCCAGCAAGCAACTTCGATGATGTCGAAATGACTGATGCTCCCAAGGAGATCACCATCAACGAAACACTCAAGATTGCCTTACCAGACAAATACCAAGGAAGTCGACAGGAACTCGACACCTTCCTATTACAACTTGAAATCTATTTTAGATTCAACCAAGACAAGTTCACCGAAAAGGAATCTAAGAGTATTTGGGCCGTGTCATACCTCAGAGGCGAGGCAGGCAAATGGATTCAGCCATACCTGCGCGACTATTTCGAGCATGACGACAGGGAACGCATGCAACCCACAAGAACCATCTTCGACAGTTTCGAAGGATTCAAGACAGAAATCCGTAGGATCTTCGGAAACTCCAATGAGTTAGAGGTAGCGGAAGAGAAGATCTTCAACCTCAAACAGACAGGATCGGCATTGAAGTATGCTACGGAGTTCCGAAGATATGCGGGGACAACTAAATGGGACGAGGTCGCCATCATGAGTCATTACCGTAAAGGACTCAAACCAGAAGTACGTTTGGAACTTGATAGGGAAGGGGAGGACGATGACTTGAACGG